GGGCGGCCTGGCAAAAGTTAGAGCCTGAAAAAGTGAAGGTTAAAATACCCGAGTGTACCTTAACCGGAACTATGTAAGGCTTGATTCCCATGTTTGGGATACATAGGCAACTTCATTCTGAAGTCCAGCCCTCAACGCTTTCATAGCATCTCAGTCCATACAATGGTTTCAATTTCATCCTGAAGTCCAGCCACCAACACTTTCAAAGTGACTGTGTCCGTATATTGGTTTTGACCATCTTCGTCTTCTCTGTATCCGAGAGTTCAGTTGTGATCATCACAGGACTGTTTACAATATGTTGCGGCATCATCCAGACAAGGGGCAACTTTCCGTTGCCATGAGTCGCCGTTTAAACCAGGGGCAACTTTTCGTTGCCGTGCAGCGTCCTTCAAACAAGGGGAAATTTTCCATTGCCTCCGATCCGAGGTTGTGCATCTCGAGAATAAGTTCCGCGCTCGTTGGGCGGCGGCCGTTTGCCAAAAAATATAGTTTTTGAGAATTTTTACTGAGGTTGACCATTTTCTTGAAAATTATTTCATTTTCCAAAACTGGACCATCTTCTTGGACCCAAAAAGGAAAATTTTCAGTGCTCATAGCCTGACTTGCATATTTTCAAACCAAAAATCACACAAGCATGTTAATCTAACTCTCATATTGGTCAAAATTGTTTTCGTAGAAACCAAAACCAAAAAATGGTCAAAATGATGAACTAGGGGCACATTTGAGTCAGGCGTTCTGTCTTTCCCCCGTCATCAACATACTTGACAGGAGGGCACTCTACCCACCAGAAAAAATAGCTGTGAGCTAACCATGTCGGGCGTGAACCCACAACTTCCTATTCATCCATTAAACACCCCGAGGAGGGATAGAAATGAGAGAATAAAGAATAGAGAGGTGTAAGTTGAGAGAAAAAGCGAGCCAAAGGGTTTTGAGAGAAAAACCGAGCTTGAGTGCCAGAGTGATGTGAGAATCACAAATGAGAAAAAGGTGGGAAACAATATACCCGGAGAAACTGGCTCCTCGTGATCTGAGGTCCCCCGTCTTCGTTAACGCGTCTGTATGTCGTGTCTTTTGTTTTTTTTACCTCAACCTTTGTTTTGGGTCGTTTCCGAGCGTGCCTTGTTGTGTTTAGGTCGTGTACCTGTTGTTGAGTCATAGTATGCTGTGTTCAGTTGTAGGCTCAATACCCAGTTGAGAACCCTTTTCTCATTTTCAAAGATTAATCGTTTTGTGCTCAAAATGCTGTGCCATTCTCCACATTTGTGCAAAAACATGATTTGGTTCTTTCATACAAACTGCAGGGTCCACCCCTGATAAATGTGAACAGGAAAACACGGGCCTCTTCGAAGCTTCTGGGTTTTCAGATCGCATCTGAGTGTGCTTCAACTTCAGTGGATTCGACCTTCATGGTCCGTCTTGTCAGATGTGGGCTGTTTGTTCAGGATCCACTGTGTGCAAAATAAACCAAGCGTTGTCTTATGAGCTGTATGCAGATTAATCCCCAGTAGAGTATGAGCCAAATGTTCAGAATGTGCAGTGGTTGGTATGGTTTGTTTTTGCTGTTGACTGGTTCGTTATCTGATTATTACAATGCAAGTGTTCAATTTTCAGACAACGGATCAATTTCATTTACATTGAGGTGCAAAATGATGCAAGTACTCAATGTTCAAAACAGGTTCAATTTCGTTCACATTCTGGTGTGATACCTTGCGATGCGATGCATAGAAAATTTACAAATGCAACATCTTTTGAACAAAATGGTCGTTTCATTCCCATCACGTGTTTTGCAAAATATGTAATTTTGAGAAAGAATAAAACCTACCGGAGGCAGTGCAATGTGCTTAAACTACCAGTAAAAAGGAAAGTAAAGCATAGAACAGCAGGGTAGCAAAGTGTCGGAATTGATACCAGTAAAACTCCCCTTGCGGTCAACGCACCTTCCGCACCTTTGTTCGGGTCAACTACATGGTTCAACACCTTCATCACCCAAGACAATGCGGGAAAGCACACTTTTGAAACGTGAACCTTCGAGTTGACCTCAGGCCACAACTTTTACGAGCGATGCTCAGTACGTACGAAGAACGTCCCTTCCCGTATCCTTTTCATGTCTTGTGGATTCCACAAATCGTTTCAATTATGCTGTGTTACAGTACTTTACATTCCAGCATCGTGAATAACATGTTTTTACTTACATGTGTACATTCAACTCTTCTCATACACACTACTTGCGTAAACTGCATGTTTGTAATCAATTTCATTACTTGCGTAGACCGCATGTTTTGCTTGCGTAGACCGCATGTTTGTAATCAATTTCATTACTTGCGTAGAGCGCATGTTTTGCTTGCGTAGACCGCATGTTTGTAATCAATTTCATTACTTGCGTAGATAGCATGTTTTGCTTGCATAGACCGAATGTTTGTAATCAATTTCATTACTTGCGTAGACCGCATGTTTTGCTTGCGAAGACCGCATGCTTGTAATCAATTTCATTACTTGCGTAGACCGCATGTTTTGCTTGCGTAGACCGCATCATTGCATTTTGCATGCATTCCATCGTACTGTCTTGTGCACTTGCGTTGTCTAACGCATCGCGCGGTTTTGCGCATCTCATTGCATTTTGCATGCATTCAATCGCGCTATTTTGCGCATCTCATTGCATTTTGCATGCATTCAATCGCGCTATCTTGCGCATCACACCGTCCTGTACATACGACGGTCTAGGAGACCCTAAATCCTCTGAAGGTGCAAGTCCTTCGGTGTTTGTCGTGCCCGAACGACTTTTGGTAAGTTGCATTATACATGTATTTCAAGCGACTCGCGTCGTCGCATATTCAAGTTCACGTGCATCTTAAAAGCCGCGCATTGTCGCGCACTTCGAAATCATGCATCATCATGCATTTGCATTTCAAAAAAACAAAAACAAAACAAAAAATATAATTGCATTGTCATGCATCATCGTAAATAGTTGCATTGTCATGCACCATCGTAAATAGTTGCATTGTCATGCATCATTGTAATAGAGTGTATATTGCATTGTAGCTTGCATGCATTCATTGCATCATTTCCATCTATGGCTCGCGCCTTTCCATGATTGAGCTTGGTCTGGTATGCGCCCATACTTCTCGTATCGAAGCATAGTTCAGTGGACCATTCTATGTTAGACGCGGCTTGTACGTGTACATGCCCTTCCTAGGCAAAGATTTGGTTTGGCCTGCGTGCCTTATCCATCGTATCTTTTCCATCCCAGTGCACATTGCATTGTAATTTGCATGCATTCATTGCATCACCTTCCATTTATGAACTATAGCATATTTATGGAATATTATTGATATATTGAGTAATCACCAATTCATTGATATAAGAATTCAAAATTTAGGGTACCCTACTTGATAAAAGATTGACTACTATTCTTCATGAAGGAATTCATAAAAAATTTCTTTATAAAGCTGACTATTATATTGACTCTTTCTTATTTTCTTATTGATTTCCTCTTTGACAATTGAACATGAAAGCAATTCATCAAGAGATTCCAATGGGACTCAAGAGGAAAACCCAGAATTCAAACTTTTTGACATAGACCTTATTTCTACTGCTACAAATAACTTTGCTAGTGATAATAAGATTGGAGAAGGTGGATTTGGTCCTGTATTTAAGGTATTTTTATTTTTTATTTTTAATGTAGATATTTTGAAGCAAAAATAAAAAATAAAGAAAACAAGCCCATAATTATTCGCTATTGTTGATATTCTGCCTGATAATTTGTAGGGAGAATTACCTTCTGGACAACTCGTTGCAGTAAAGAGGCTCTCTAGGAATTCTCAACAAGGCCTTGAAGAGTTTGGAAATGAAGCTAGTTTGATTGCAAGACTTCAACACCGAAATCTTGTTAAACTCTTTGGAGGATGTGTTCATGAAGATGAAAGAATGCTTGTCTATGAGTATTTACCAAATGAAAGCTTGAATAAATTCATATTCGGTATGGCCATTTAACATTTATTATGTTTCTTTAATGGGTTTTGATGAGTTTCATTTATATTTGAAAAAAGAAAAAAAAATGGAAATACATTGAAAATTTGGATTCTATCATATCCAGATGAAGCAAGAAAAAGACTATTACCTTGGGCCAAGCGCTTCAACATTATTATTGATGTTGCCAAGGGTTTGGTTTATCTACATAATGATTCGAGGTTGAGAGTAGTCCATCGAGATCTCAAAGCAAGCAATATCTTATTGGACAGTGAGATGATGCCCAAAATATCAGATTTTGGTCTAGCAAAAATTTTAGAAGGAGAAAATATGTTAGAGGAACCATCTGTGAGGGTTAATGGAACACAGTAAGTACTCATGTCATGTATTGAAACAAATATTTCTTGATTAGAAATTTCAATATTCTCGTATTGGCAATGCAGTGGTTACATGTCTCCAGAGTATGTCTTGCACAACCAAATTTCAACCAAGTTAGATGTTTTTAGCTTTGGCGTTTTGGTGTTAGAGACAATAAGTGGCGTGAGGAATTGGGGATTTCTACACCCTGACCATGATTTGAACCTTTTGGGACATGTAAGTTTACACAAAAAAAAAAAAAAAAAACAATAATAATAATAATTATAATTAATCTTATTTTATTTTCTTTATGAAACTTGAAATTGGTTTTAGGTATGGAAGCTGTGGAGGGATGGGAGGGCCTTGGAAGTTGTGGATCCTGTATTGGAAGATGACTCGATCTCCGAAACTGAAATTCTGAGATGCATCCAAGTGGGGTTGTTATGCGCGCAACATCGCTATGAGGTGAGGCCAACAATGTCGACTGTGCTTATTATGCTTAGCAGCCAAAGCATAGAATAGAAGACACAAATGGAACCCGGTTTCTATTTAGGTTATTCTTCCATGAGGTTTGGTTCCTACAGTAGACAAATATCTGGAAGTGCCAATGGGCTCACAGTCACAACCCTAAGTGCAAGATAGACAAATGACTTGAATGATTTTTGAGTTCAAGATGGTGACAGTATTAGCAATCTAAATGACATTGCTAGGGAAACATAGGATTTGAATTTAGGAAATTACTATTAAGTATATAAAATCATCTTCCTTAAGTGTGGATGACCAGTCTTTACTAATTACTAGGATCCTCAAAACTTTTGTATATGAAGAAATATTTGCTGAAAACATTATATGAAGTTTTATCATAATATATATATAGAAATATCCTCTTCGATTTCGTTGTTATAATAGAATTTCTATTTCTTCTTAGCTTGTGGGTGTGCTGCTATGCAGGTGTGTGATGAGGAAGGTTGAGCTAATATTTATTCTCTACTTCTAGTGTTAATATGCTTTTATACTGTCGCAAATATTTATTTATTTTTTGCATCGAATATATTTGCAATCTAAAATTTGAGTTGCAAATGATAGTTTTTAAACTTCATTTTATTTTGACAATATATTGATTTGTTCACTAGATTAGACTTATTCTAATTCTGACACTATTGGTTTGTTAATTAAGATAGACAATTCTTATAAAACTTTTCATAGAAGTTAATTCTGAATCTTATGAAACAAATAGCATTTTCCTTGAACAGTCAAGATTGACAAAAACAATTCTTAAAAAACTTTTCATTTCATAGAAGGGAATTATTGTTATAATGAAGCAAATATTTTTTTTCCTATTCGTCCTGAAGACTAGACCTATTCTAATACTGAATTAAATTATCCATTGTTGTGCCATTCCAAAGTGTTAAATTATGGGTCTGGCTTTGGTCCAGTCCCCCATCGGACTGGACCGTGGGATTAAACCATTAAGCATGAATGTCTCAATTTCACACTTAAGCAAGCAAGGGGTTTAAAACCACTTTCAAAGCAAACGAAAAAGTGAAGAATAGAGGGAGATTACAGAGATTTCAGTGCTGAAATGGAGTGTAAAATAACACTAAAACATGCTTTGAACTCAAAAGAATGATGATCAAAGCATTGAAACAACAAACTAGTGAAGGAAATTGCACTACAACCATACAATTCAAGGCTCAAATGACTAAACCAGCTCAAAATAGAGCAAAAACAAGTCAAAATAGTAGCCAAAACATGCTGGGACCAAGGTACAAAATGCTAGAAAAACATGCTCACATGTTATGCTATCTAGGCATGCAAACAAGACATAAGAAGGGGAGGCTACCCCCTCCAATTTTGGACTTCAAAATGAGATTTTTTTCACTGAAAAACCTATGAGATTTAGTGGTTAAAAGGCCCCAAAAAAATGGTTTAGAGGTGGTGAAAGATGGCACAAAAAGCTATACAAGCTAAGGAACAAAAGGGAGAGACAACCCCCTAACTCAAAAAGGCCTCAAACCACCATGTTTAGGTCATAAAAACAGAGATTTTTTTAGTTCAAAACCAGCCATAGAGGTGTTTTGGTTCTCTCTTAACAGGTATGTGTTTTACAGTGAAATTGTATAGGAATGTGCATAGGAGCTGCAAATTTGGTATCTGTTTTTGGGGGTAGAATTTAGTGTGGAGTATAGTCCTACAGCTTTGATCATGTCTGTGTTGATAATATCTTAGCCGAGGTGCTTTGCGGTTTTTGATTACTATTCTTTTTGCTTTATTTCTTTTGCTAGGTAGTTTAAAACCATAGATTCAGAAAAGTTCGGATATCCCCCAAGTACTTTGGACCCGAGTCAAAAGACTTTGTAAAGTCGGGGATCTTGTTCGGGGACAACCCATGTTGACTTCACTCCCACCTGTTACAAGATGGAGGAGAATCATGAAGAATTCACCAATTCAATTTTTATAGCAGTCACCTTTTAGCTGACCTGTGTCCAGTTAGGTTCGGGAACGATCATCTACTTGTAGTCCAGCACGAGATCACTCACCTATTCTAATGGCACAGTATTCCCCAGTCAGTATAGACGAATTGATACATCATCTGCAACAGACAGTTGAGACCCTACAGTAAGATGCTACCCACTAGGCTGAGGTTATAACCATGCTACAACACCAGTAACCCTAGTTGGCTGCGGCCTCTGCATCCCATGCACTTACCACGGGTATCTTAGCACCTGAAGCCACTACTCATACTGCCAATGTCCAAGAAAACCAGGGCAATCCAACAGAGCCAATCCCAGCACAAGCCTCTAAAACCACTGTTTATCAGATCGAGGCTTTGTTCGAGTTTGAGATTGACCCAACTGTACTTAAGGTCAATAAGCTAGAAAAGTTATTCAAGAGGGCACAAGAGGTTAACTCCATCTCGGACATAGAGGACGGGTATACTGATTCTGTTTAAAATGCCGTACATCGATCGATTCGACGGCTCCGGAGATCTAATGGTCCACTTGCATCTATTTTCTGATATCTTACAGCCGATGGGCTTGACTAGACTACAAAAGCTATCTCTCTTTGGTCGCACCATGTTTAGTATAACAGCCATTTGGTATGCTAAGTTGGAAGACTTTGTCAAACAGAATTGGGAGGTGTGAGTGTTGCCATAATTGCATGATTACCATGAGGCTAGCTGCTTATGTGATATAACTGCTTGAATGCCTGTGGATGGAGGTTGAATTGCTTAAATTGGGATAACGCATTAAAACTGTGAATTTTAAGCCCACTAGATAGTGGCAAAACCATCTTTTCTAAAAGCCCACTCGAGGGTGGCAAAACCTGCATTTTAGCCTAATTGCGAGTAGCAAACCATTTTCAAAACAAACATGAAATGTTTTGTACCAATTTAGGCGATTTGGTCTATACTTGTTTGCTATGCGCATAACATAGTAATTCTAGGCTAATAACCGGAATAAGAACACATAACATTTTCAAAAACGGATATCACGGTTAGTAGAGGCCGATCTTCGGATCGGGCGAGAGGGGGTGCTCATAGCTGACATTCCCTAATCGTACCCAAGCTCCCGAGCCGAGGCAACTTTGGTGATGACAGACACCTGGCCTTTGGCACCGAGTCAGGGTTTCCTAAATTCTCCCATAAAAATATTTAGGTGGCGACTCTGTATCTGGCAAAGCAGTCCATGTTTGGCACTTCTTTTCAAAAACCTGTTTCTCAAAACGATTTGCCGGATTTGGACTCTTTGGTTAAGATTAAGGACCGTGACACAAATCGAGTCCGAACTGTAGCGGGGTCCCTCGCGGACGTGTCTACAGCGGTATTTGTGGGGAATAGACCCATGACAAAGGCGGACTCGATCATTCGGGACCCAAATGTAGCGGTCGAGTTTGCTTGACAAATTTTTCCTCCTGAGGTTCAGCAATCGATGGTAGGTCGTCAGGACTACGAAGTATTTCGCGAAGGCATTCACGAGGCGGTGAAGGGGCTTTACACTGCCTATGAAATCGGCATGCGGTTGCGCGCTGCCCGCCGAGAAATGGAGAAGAAAGAGGAACATATTCGAAGTTTGGAGGCTCGCACGGAGGCGGCTGAGCGCGAGTTAAGGAAGACCAAGGCGGCCCAGGCACAACCCGCCAGGCATGGAAACCCAATCGTGGAAGAAAGGGTTACCAGTCGGCTCATCAGTTCCGCGCTTGCCGATCGTGAGACGGCGAGTATGTTCGCAATGGAGAACGCGAAGGGGAGGGCCTATGAGAAAGGTTTTCATGACGGCCGGAAAGTTGGAATCGAAAAGACCAAGAAAAAACTTGTCGAAGAAGTTTGCCGATGTGAAAATCGTAGATTTAGGCACGGTTGGATCAAGGCATCTCAAGCCACAGAAGCTCTTTGAGCGTCGGGCATTGATTCGGCATTGCCACTCTACCACAGTGAGCATTTTTCATTTTCTGCTTTTGAAGTTGAGAAGAGTGAGGATGAGGGTGATACCGTATAAGTATACTTATTGTAAGGTTGAAACGCAGATCGCGTTCAAAACTATGTAATATATTGCTATTTTATCGAATAAAAAATGTTCTATGATAAATATTTTGTTGCAGTTCGTATTTGGTATGTATGCGTTTCGTTTTACTGTATATGTTTGAATGAATGTATAAACGTTGATCGGCAGGGTCGACCCATACGTGATAGCCGTTTATCCCTGAATGAGGCTATTGTAACTTGAGGAAGCCGAAAGCCAGTGGATAGAATGGCTGCGGCAAATTCAACTCGGCTCGGGGCCTAGATTTTTGACCAGTGTACGTGCTTCAAAAATTCGTTTGGATAACTACGCCGTGGCGAATGTCAACCGACGTTTTTCTCATGGAGTTTAGTGTTAGTGAAATCGCCTCGGGATTGGGGCTCGAGATCGCTGCCAGTATTGAAAATAAAAGGAGTGGGCGCTTCGCGCAGATAAACAATCACTTATGTATGGTGGGATAAGTGGGGATGTTAGTTAGAGACTGGAGTTCAGCCGATCTTGGTGTTGCCATGGAGCACAGCAGAGGACCCATCCGTACGGGAAGTAGGGCGTCCAAAAGTTGGCATGAATCTTCAAGTCGTCGAAGCAGATCACCCCAAAAGGAAAGGCAACGACCGTTGGGTTTTTATCCTTCCTTGTCCTGGATCTTTGCCTTGACATTGTCAATGGTATCAGGGGAGGACTTGGGCACAGTTGGCTCAAGGTATTGCAAATCGCGGAGGACTTCCGGGTGACGGGAGTTGATTCGGCGCTGCCGCTTTACCAATGCGTCTTCTCCCTTTTTTAGCTTTTGAGTTTGGAAATGGGTATTGTAATGCTCAAATGCAAGTTGTTTTTATGTAACAACTGTGTGATTAAATAAAAATTGTAATGCTCAAATGCAGGTTGCGTTTATGTAACAACTATTTGATCGAATAAAAAGCTTTATTTCGAACATTTGCCTCTTATTCTGATTTTTTATATGCTTAGTTAAGCACCGTATTTGCGTCTTATTCTGAATTATCTATATGCTCAATTAAGCACCCTATTTCTGATGTTGGCGACTTTTGTTTTGTTCGTGCCAAAGGGTACTCCGAATCCAGAGGCTAAATCGGCACTTAGGTGTCATGCACCAAAGGGGGCTCCGAATCCAGAGTCTTAGTCGGCCCTAAGGTGTCATGCACCAAAGGGGCTCCGAATCCAGAGACTTTAATCGGCCCTAAGGTGTCATGCACCAAAGGGGGCTCTGAATCTGGAGACTTAGTTTGGCCAATTGTGATATCCACGAAGGGCGCTCCAAATCCGGAGTCTTTAATCGGCCCTGAGGTGTCATGCACCAAAGGGGGCTCCAAATCTGGAGACTTTAATCGGCCCTAAGGTGTCATGCACCAAAGGGGGCTCCGAATCCGGAGACTTTAATCGGCCCTAAGGTGTCATGCACCAAAGGGGGCGTTGAGAAATGAATGGAGCCATGAAGAAAAATGGTTTGCATTGTAGAAGTGATATATATACAAGTATGAAAGCCCATAGGTCGGGTCAGTGATAGGGTTTTCATTAAGTCTCTGCTTGTGCCGATTGGGGGGAGCCATGGATCTCTTCAATGCCATGGGTTGTCAGGAAGCGCACAAGCTGATGATAAGTGCTTGGAACAGCCTTCATAATATGTATCCAGGTTCGCCCCATGATGCCATTATACGGCGAAGGGAGCTTTACGTCCAGGAATTCTACTTCGACCGTTCTAGAGCCCGCTCGAACAGGTAGTATGATCTTCCCTAACAGGTATTCAGGATTTATATTAAAGCCGAACAATGGGTGAGGCGCCGGAGACAGATCTGACTCGTTGAGGCCGAGTTTGATGAAAGTTTGGCAATACATAACCTCTTAATTACTCCCTAGGTCTATGAGAATGCGTTCAATGGTGAACCGATTTATGCGTAATTTAATGACCAACAGATCAATGTGGGAAGCTGTTGTGCCGCCAAGATCGGAGTCATTGTAAGTAATTGTCGGAGCTTCTTTAGGCCATTCAGTCGGAATACGTTGCTTTTGGGGGATTGGGTACGACTGAATTGTGTGCACAGTTGGGGGTGCAGACAGGCTGTAGATCATATGGATTACGCCAAGTGGAGGTGAGTCCTGCCTCAAGGCCAGTGCTTGGGTTCGCTTTTCCATTCTCACATACTGTTGCAGTCGGCCGTCTTGCACCAGTTCTTCCAGGTGATCTTTTAATGCGTAACAACTTTCCATTTCGTGGCCGTGATCTTTGTGATATTCGCACCGCCTATCCCTCCTTCGCGTGTCGGGCGGCCCCACCATCTTTGACGGCCATTTGAAGAATGGGAGGTGTTGGACTTTGGTCATTATTGCAGCAATTGGTTCTGACAACTCTGTGTACTTCTTGTCGGCACGCCTCGAACGCCTGCTGTCGACTTGTAGTTGTTCATTCTTCCGGTGGGAGCATTGATCGCTTGATCGGCGATTATCTCACCTTTTGTCTCGTTTAGCGCGTTGCCGAGGCTCTGGGCTAGGAGGTGGCGCGGAACTTATTGGTTGAGCAATTTCAGGGGGGGCTGTTTTGTTGGACATTTGGCCGGCTTTTATTCTCAAGGCATTATCTTCCACTTTGCATTACTCTTCAACTTTCTTCATCAACACCCAGACTGTTTTAGGGGGTCTTCTGGTCAGGGAACTGCGAAGAGGACTGTCAGGATGTAGTCCCATTTTGAAGGCGGTGATGGCCATGGAGTCGTTGCAAACGTCGTCGACGAGGTTGAAGAACTCCCAATAGCACGCCGAATACGCTCTGAGCGTTTCTCCTGACTGAATCTGCATAGCCCAAAGAGAGTCGGCCTGTTTCGGTTGCACCTTATTGGTGATGAACCTGGCCCTGAAGGATTTCTATAATTGATGGAAGCTTTTGATCGAGGCCGGCTCCAACTTGTAATACCACCTGACAGCTAATGGCCCCAGGCTGCTGGGGAATATTCGGCACATGAGGGCTTCGTTGTCTACATGCAATGTCATGGCCTGCTTGTAGTGACAGATATGATCAGTGGGGTCTGACTTTCCATCGTAGAGAGTGAATGATGGAGTTTTGAACTTCTTGGGCAGGGTCGCCCTTGCAATCCGTCGGACAAAAGGATCGTACTGGACCTCTTCGTCTGAACTGCTCCTCCTGCGCTTGTTCCTTGTATGTAGACTCTTTTTGGAGGAGCTGGGAGTTTCAAATCGTCCCTTCTTGTTGAGCTCCGTGGTTAATGAGTTGGAGTCGTTATCAGTATCCTCTGATCGGGCTCGAGGTCGTTGTCCACCGGCCCTCGGGGGTCGTTCGGGATCTTGGCGCATGGTTTCTCTCGATTTTGCGACTTCGAGGGCCAAATCTTGACGGAAACATTCATTTTCAGCGATCATGTTCTCCAGCCTTTGTTCATTCTGCTTTGCTTGTTCGATGATCGCCTGCATTGTCTCGTGCGCTGAGGTCGTTGGTGAGTTGAAGTTCAAGGCGCGTCTTGCAGTGATGGTTTCTTTTCCGAGCATATTTGCTGGAGTGAGGTCATCTCCCTGTGCGGTCTCGTCAATGGCTACCGGAGGATCTTCAGTCACGCCTGCCATGGATGTATTTGAGTATTCCCACAGACGGTGCCAATTGTGAAGAAGTAGTTTGGAAATACTCTTCGGATCTTAGGAGATGCTAGTGATCCTCAGCTAGTCACCTGAAAAGATACAAACACTCTGGTCGGGGGTGCCGGAATTAGCACTCCAACGGACAAGTTAGTTCAGACACTCAGGATGGCTTCTTTACTAAGTTTTGTGAAGTGATTCTTGCATACCTTTCTACAACCGTTGTTCCTGTATTTATACCTGTTCTTTTTGATCCTCGGGGCCAGGGCCTACTTTTTGATCATTGTCCTTTCTTTTATTCAGCCCTAAGGACTTACACTTATTTGGCATAAATATTATATTCGGCTCCCCACTCTCGTAGGATATAGGTGGTTAATATCAGTCTTCCAATGGTACGCACCCTCTGATTTTTCCATGTATTCGGCCCCCACATTGACCCTTCTACCAAATGGAAGTAACACAACTAAGCTAACATATGATGGAAAAAGATGACCAATCTAACAAAATGGATAGAACAGTGGAGTTAGAGATGGTTATGGCCAAACTTCGGGATGAAGTTGCCTATGTATCCCAAAGATGGGAATCAAGCCTTACATAGTTCGGTTCGGGTTCACTCGAGTATTAACTCTCTCCTTTTGCGCTCTAACTTTTGCCAAAGCCGCCCTTTAGGGTTTTCGACCTTGCAAGCTCTATTTTTCTTATTTCTAATTTTCATGCTCTAACTTTTGCCTAGATTGCCCTTTCGGGTTTTCAGCCTAGTGAGCCTCTCAGGGATATTATTTCTTCAACTTGTCCATATTAATCAATTACTCTAAGCCATCTAAATCCATAAGAATAATCACTCCTCCTGACCAGATAGATTTGATGATTTAAGGACCAGTCCAATTGGATCTGAACTTGCCCCTAGGGTCATGGATGGGAGCGCGATTGTCTTTCAGCACCATATCTCCTTCCTTGAGGTTTCTAGATTTGACTTTCTTGTTGAAAGCCCTAGCAATTCTGTACTGATATCCTTGGATGTGTTATAACACCTTTGTAGACGTCCCCGAACGCCCCGGGAGGAACGAGCTCCCGTTCCGTTCATTTAGGGTCACTACAGCTCAGGACTCTCAAATTGTCACGGTTCTAAGTCTGAACCAAAGAGTCCAAATCCGGCAAATCGTTTTGAGAAAACAGATTTTTGAAAGAAGTGCCAAACATGGACTGCTTTGCCAGATACAGAGTCGCCACCTAAATATTTTATTTTGGGAAATTTAGGAAACCCTGACTCGGTGCCAAAAGGCCACGTGTCCGTCATCACCAAAGTTGCATCGGCTCGGGAACTTGGGTACGATTAGGGAAGGTCACTTCGTGAGCACCCCCGCTCGCCCGGTCATAGACCGGCCTCTACTAACCATCAACCGTCCACTTTTATTCCTCGACGGGATGTGCCTAAAGGAACTTTGCTTGCAGCCACTGCCAAGGATGGCAACCAAGGTATGTATGTTTTATGTTACATTGTTGTAGCACACGTGCACACTTCAACGTCACCGCTGAAGGTCAAAAACCAAGTCTTGATTTACACTGGTTTAGTAGTTTTTTCGAAATTTGTGGGCCCAAACATGACATGTTCCCAATATGTTGTACTAATGTTAATTCACAGGATTATTCCCAGTTGCCTTTGCTGTTGTTGATGCCGAGAATGCATCTAATTGGGAGTGGTTTTTGCGTCAATTAGTCAAAGTTGTAGATGGTAGTAAGACGTTGACGTTTGTGTCTGATTGCAATGCCGGTTTACTCCACACGATGCCTATTGTCTTCCCGACAGCACACTACGCATTCTGTTTGTTACATCTTCAAACGAACTTGAGAGATCGTATGAAATACGTAAACGCTGAACGAAAACTCGGGCTTACACGCAAGTTACGAGAATGTACCTATGCACCCGTAGTGGTTTCATTCAACCACAACATTGAGCTATTGAAACAATGTAACCCAACTGTTGTTGGTAATTTTTAAAAGATTTGCATCCACAACATTGGTCAAATGCACATTTCAAGTAATGTTTCGTAACGACCCCTTGCACAAATTTTTTCATTGAATATTGTCTTCGTACACCAATAGCATTTTTCTACATTTTGCCAGGGGTCGGAGATATAGTGACATGTGCTCCAATGCTACCGAATCATTCAACAACTGTGTTCAGAAAGCTCGGCATCGACCCATTACTCAGTTGGTGGATGGGATTAAGGGCCAAATCATGGAGCAGAGGTCTAAACGTAAAGTTAAATCCAGTGTTTGGGTCGGGGAGCTTTGCCTGAAGATGGCAAAGGTTTTGGAATCGGCGTACAATGACAGTAGGTCGTGGATTATTCGTCAGTTCAAGGACAATGTGTTTGAGGTTCGTTCACACCTATCAGTGTTGGTCGATTTTAGGGCATGTACATGTTCATGTTTCCAATGGCAATTAAGTAGATTCCCATGCTCGTATGCGGCTGTAGCTTTCCAAAATAGTAGTAAGAACATATATGACTTCATTGATTCATTTTACTATGTGCACGAGTTTAGGGCGGCGTATTCTGGGGCTAATCACCCAATTCCTACAATAAGGAAACCAAATTTGGCAACAATGGATTATCTCATCGCACCACCTATTTTTAAACGCCCACCTAGAAGGTCCAAACAGAAATGGGTGTTGTCCAAAGGTGAGGTGGTTCAACGGATTCAATACGGCCGTTGCGGTAAAATGGGTCATCATAATAGGAAAACATGTGAGGAACCAATGTAGCGTGGTGGACATGTATGGCGGTTCTACTTCGCTGCCAAACTATCATAGCTAATTCACATCCCTTTATTTTTCATTTGCGTTCAAATTTATGTTCATAAATGGCATATAGAATGCAACATGGACTTATACTAACATGAGAGAGCCTCAGCCACACTCACATAAGAGGCCGATGGATGAAAATGAAGTGCCTCGAAATGCGTGCACACGGGCACGCAAACCGAGGCAATGGTATATACAATGCAATATGGCAAAAATGATATCCAATCATGCTAATGAGATTTCAGCACTGAAATGTGGGGGAAAACAGCCCCGAAATGAGGCGAAAGTACGCCCGATGCATGGAATAGTCCCGAAACATGAATTTTGGCACCCGAAATGGCCTATAGCTATACCAAACATGCACAATATGGACATGCAATGAATAGACAGTAGCAAGGCAGCCCCAAAATAAGCATTTTTCCAGTTCAAAGCATGGCCAAACAGCAAACACAAATAGGGAAAAAATAGCATGCAAAAATGGCCCTAAATATGAGGTTATGAAGCAACTCACAGCTGCTGACCCCAAACAGGTTAGGGCCCTTCAACAATATTGAAGAGAGGCCCAAAATAAGCCACTTTACACAACTGTAAAAACCCTAAAAACAAACATAGATATGGCTAAGCTCTTATGCAAGAAAATGGGCCAAAAGGTGGACAAAGAAGCAAGTGGTCTATGCAAAGCCCAAACTGAAAAATGCCCTTCTACAACATTGAAGAGGGACCAAAAATATGCACATTTACAGAACTGTAAAAACCCCGAAAACAAACATAGGTATGACTAAGCTCTTATGCAAGAAAATGGGCCAAAAGGTGGACAAAGAAGCAAGTATACAAAACGTTCATCAAACATCCAAAGACCCTTAATGAAACATGAATAATGGGCCAAAATAAGACTATTTTCAGTACTGTAAAAAGGCCAAAAACCGAAGCATAATAGGCTGCCAAAACATGCAAAAATGGGGACCAAAAAGGGATATAACATGAAGTGGCATATGGAGGTCCCAAACAATGATGAGCCCTTCTTCAATGTTGAAGAGTGGCTCAAAATAAGCCTATTTACAGTTTACAACATGCTCCAAAAAAGATCACACAGGCTAAAAATACTACGCAAGATAACGGTATTTAAGAAGGATATTGAAGCAAGTGCAACATGGGGGGCTCAAAAAGTGTTGAGCCCTTAAGCAAAAGTGAAAAAGAGCTCAAAAGAAGGCCACTTTCAGTTAGGGATGGAGCTCAAAATAGCAAGCATATATGACTTACAAATGATGCAAAAATAAGCTTAAAAAAAGGGAAAATGGTACTCACCCTTGAAGACAATTCTTTTGTTGCTTCTTGGCTTGAGAAGTGGTGCCTCTTAGCTGCTGGAAAGCTTCCCAAGTTGCTGGAAATGGAGTGGTGGTGGTGATGCTAGGTGGTGATGAAGAAAAGGGGGTAGGACTTAGGAGTTTTTGAGAAAATGAGAGAGATAGAGGGAGATTTGGATGCCTATGCTTGAAGCAATTTTTTCTAACCCTTAAAACAAGTGTTGGCAGCTGGTTATAAGGATCAAGGAGAGGGGGAGCATGGAAGGAAAGGGTGGGGGAAAAGGACCAAGTCCTTTCCCCAAAAGGTGTCCCTCGGATTTAGATATTTATGGGGGACAACAACTATGGAATGTACTCAACCTGAAGAAGCAGGCCGGCCTGACATTTTTGCTGCAGGTGGCCGGCCGGCCACCTCCCCTAGCCGGCCGGCCAAGGGTCAAAAGGGCCAAGTTGTGTTAGTGGCCGGCCACCACATATTGGTGTCCTCCCATGCCTCCTCATCACAACCCTGTGGTTCAAAATTACAAACTGTAAAACATGAGAGAGAATAGGCCATTTTTAAGAGGGGTTCAAAAGGGTCAAATGGAATTTCTGGCCGGCCATATGATATTAGGATCCTCCCATGTGTGTACAACACAAATATGTGGTTTGGGGTTGAAGAAAGTGGCCCCAAGGTGTTCAACATTGGCTCGGAAGCGAGAAAAACGGGCGTCGAAGGACGCCGGAGGATATATAACTGGTTGCTGAAACAACTGCTGGCCTCCCACCCTTCTACGGCCTTCCTGGTGATGAAACAGAAGTACCTGCCAAAAATGAACGAAAATCGATGCAAAACGAATGTTCGGGGGCCAAAACACGCAGTTCGGGGCCCCGAAAACTGCCTGTTAAGCACCGAAAGTGGCACTCGGCCACGAAATGGGTCTCTCAGACCTCAGTGTCCCTCAAAAGGGAGCAAATAGGAAGTATGCCAAAAATCAGAGCAAACGGAGATGGTTAAGCGGTCCCGAACTGAGGCACACGGCCTGACGGCTCCGAAAACCAGAAACCGGGCCCCGAAATGGACAAAATGGCCTACAGCCACAAAATGTAGCCCACGGCCACTGAGAGATGGTCTACAGGACCTCTTCCTCCCCTCAGGAAAAGAAACAGAGAAAACCGAGTCTGGTTCGCAAACCGAGACAAGGCACAGAAAAGGGTTCAGAAGGCTCTCAGCCAAAACTCTAGAAACTCGAAACGAGCAGAACATGCTCAATCACCGAGCGCTTAATCGATGACGTCTGAGTCTTAAGGTCGGTCAAAAATGGGGTGTCTACAGTTGCCCCTCTTTGACAGAACTCGGAAGTCATAAGAATGACGGGAGTGAATGTCAAAGCCCAGCGACGACCCATTTTTGACAAGGTCAAAGACTTAGACAAACATACAAGATAAACAGAGATGTGCCCGCAGGCATGCCCGCAGGCAAAGGGGGCAAAATGCAAGGTGATATGCATAGAGCCGGAGGTAACTCAATGATCATGCAAATACAGCAAGCTGTAATGAAGCAAGTATTCGCAAATAGATGCAACCGTTTTAAGCAAGAATGCAAAGCAACAACTACATTTCACGCAGTTAAGAATGCGGATAATTGTTCAATTCTCGTCGCGTCTCACACGGAGAAGATACGATACCTGCGCGATTCGTCTAGTCGCACCAGCCTCAAATGAACCGTACATACAATATCGTGCCTATAAAAGAGAGAAATTCAACAAGCACAATATGCTAACAACATATATTCAATGTGATTCCGGAGTGAATGCATCGCGATGCGAGAAAGGAACGTGCGTGACAACGCATGCTCAAGCACAGAGGTATGGAAATATCAAGAAATATGCATAATAATGCAAGTATGCTCACGAGAATGCAAGTTATGTGTATGATAGTGCAAAACGAGCATAAATCAAGGTGCCCGTTTGTTACAAAGTAACGATCACGGAAACGCGTGTTTCGGCGAAGGCGACTCGAGCACGGCCTCCGATCCACTTCCTGGAAAGGCTACAACACATTCAAAAGGGATACACTTTGATTTCGATGAATGATGATGAGACACATGTCAAAACTTGAAGCTGAAGTTCCGGCGGAGCAATTTCGCAACAGAAAGTGCACTTTCTTTGAACTTTTTCAGGTCCCGGGAACTCTAATCTTCCTCAAAACTTGCAGAGAGCTAGGTGAGCCTGTGGGGGACATTGCCGGCTAGTTTTATGGAGGGTAGGAGGTGGACGGCTAGTTTTCCAAAAAGAGAATGGCTGGCTGGCCGGAAAAGGTGGCCGGCCGGCCACCTGCCCAAATCCGAGGCTAATTTGGTCTTTTCATCTCCTTTTCTTTATGCTCTCTCACCCAAACACTTTGAGCCTATAAATGCAGCCACGAAATCTTCTTCTCTTGCTTCCTACACCATTTTCTCCCTCAGATCTGAGTTCCATACGCGTTTTTCAAGGCCCCACGCAAGTTGTTTTCGCGAAAATATTCAGTTTCAAGCACTTTGAACTGATTAAATTTTGGTTTCGGGCTTCTTTTCTCATTTTCGCCACTTGAGGTGAGTTTGTCTCAATATTTGGAAGATTTTCTCGGGAGTTGACTTTTGTTGACTTTTTCATTTCCCGAGAGTTGACTTTTGTTGACTTTTTCCTGTTGACTTTTTGCAATTTTGGCTCATTTTTGCTCCTTTTGCAGATTTTCTGAAAATGGCGGGTAACTCTCCTCATGGTGGAGGTTTTCCAGGTGCTGGGGATGATTTTGATGCCATGACTTTGCCACCGAGGGTCCGCCCCTTTATTCCCGGGAGGTACGCTCCACCAGCTCATGTCCTCCCTCGGGCCGTTTTTCGTCATTTCACTGATTTTGATGAGCGA